TGTAGCAGCACTAGCTTGGCGACCACTCGCCACACTCCTCGCTTGGCGACCCCCCCGGGTTTCCCGCCACGGCCGTCTTCGCCGCCTCCGCAGCCTGCTGCTGTGGACTCTGGAGCTGAGACTACTGGAGCTGGGGCTGGGGGTGGTGAGTCTGGGGGTGCCCGCTCTCCTCGTCTGGCTACCCCCCCTGGGTTCCCACCTCTGCCGTCTTCACCGCCTCTGCAGCCTACTTCTGTGGACGCTGGAGCAGAGACTGAGGGTGCTGGGACTGAGGGTGCTGGGACTGAGGGTACTGAGCCTGAGGGTGCTGAGACTGAGGGTGCTGAGCCTGAGGGTCCTGGGACTGAGGGTACTGAGACTTTGGGTGCTGACTCTGGGGGTGCTGAGACCTCGGGTGCTGACTCTGGGGGTGCTGCGAGTCCTTCTGGAGGTCCTGGAGCTGGAGGTACTGGAGCTACTAGGCCTGGAGGTCCTACTGGAGGTACTAGCGGTACTACTGGTGCTGGAGGTACTGGAGCTGCTGCTGGTGCTGGAGGTGCTGGAGCTGGAGGTACTAGAGGTGCTTCTGGAGCTGGAGGTGCTAGAGCTACCACTACTGGAGGTACTGGAGCTGGACAGCCACCGCAGCCGGCTCTACTTGAGCCGCTCTCGCCGCAGGCGATTCGTGCGTGGGTCGTTCTGCGAGGCAGTCCTGGTGGTGGAGGGTACGGTCCTGCTGGTGCTGGAGCTACTAGTCCAGGAGGTGCTGCTGGTGCTGGAGGTGCTGGAGGTACTACTGGAGGTACTAGAGGTGCTGCTGGTGCAGGAGGTACTGGAGTTGCTGCCGGTGCTGGAGGTACTGGAGCTGGTGGCACTGGAGGTGCTGGTGCTACTGGTGCTGGAGCTGCGGGAGCTGCTGACCCTGGAGGTGGTGGTACTGCTGGTGCTGGAGGTGCAGGAGGTGCTACTGTAGCTGCTGGCACAGGAGGTACTGGAGGTACTACTGGTGCTGGAGGCGCTGGAGCTGGAGCTGGAGGCACTGGAGGTGCTGGAGGTACTACTGGTGCTCGAGGTGCTGGCGCTGTCGGAGCTCGTGGTGCTGGAGGTGCTGGTGCTACTGGTGTTGGACGTGTTGCTGGGGGTACTGGAGGAGCTGCTCGTGTTGGAGGTACGGGAGCTACTGGTGCTCTTCGCCACCTTCTCAGTCTTCCGCCAGGTGCTACTGGCTTCCCTGTGGCAGGTACTACTCCTCCGTTGCTGTGTCCGCCAGCGGACCAGTCACAGCCACCGCTGCTACCACACTCCCCACTGCCTGCTCCTGCTCCTTACACTGCGGTGTCAGAGTCCCTGACTGAGCGTCGAGAGCCTGAGACTCGTGCTTCCAACCCTGAGCGTCGAGAGCCTGAGTCTAGCTTTGACCTTGAGCCTGAGCCTAGAGCTGCTGTCCGTGCTCGTGTTCCTCGTGTTCGTCATCCGCGTGCTCCGGCTGTCCCCGGCACTCACGACATGACACTCCGTCCTTCCTCTGTTCCTCAGCGTGTTGTACTACCGTTACCTCCTGCGTCCTCTCTGCCTGACGTTGCTGACCCTCCGTCTGACCTTGCTCGTGCGTCCAGTCCGACTGTTACTCGCCTTCTTGCTACGGTTGTGACGGACCCTACGTTCTTGTCTCCTGCTGCGTCTGCCCTAGTAGCTGAGCTTGTTGACTTTGCTGCTGTGTACCGCCTAGACTACCTTGCGAGTCTTGTCTCTGACCCTGTCCCTGCCTGTCCTCCGTCCGTCGGGGGTGAGACTGCTCTTGGCTGTACTGCCCTTGGCTGTGACGTTCTTGAGGGCAGACAGGAGGAGCTGGAGTGCCTTGCTGCCGCTTCACCCCATCACGCGACCATGCTGCTTGCCCCTGAGGGAGACCCGGATGCACTTGACATCCCCACCCCGCGCTCCTACATGGAGGCGATTTCGGGTGAGTACTCCTCTCAGTGGCAGACAGCCATGGACGCAGAGATGGCTTCCTGGAAGTCCACAAGCACCTACGTCGACGAGGTTCCCCCACCTGGGGCGAACATCGTCAGTGGCATGTGGATTTTCAGGGTGAAGCGGCCGCCGGGTTCTCCGCCTGCCTTCAAGGCACGTTACGTTGCTCGAGGCTTCAGTCAGCGTGAGGGGGTCGACTTCTTTCAGACCTTCTCCCCCACCCCGAAGATGACCACTCTTCGGGTGTTGCTACACGTTGCAGCTCAGCGTGACTACGAGCTGCACTCCCTCGACTTCTCGACAGCTTTCTTGCAGGGTAGCCTTCACGAGGCCATCTGGTTGCGCCGTCCACAGGGCTTCACTGGGTCGTTTCCTGCGGGTACCCAGTGGAGCCTACGGCGACCAGTGTACGGCCTGCGTCAGGCGCCCCGTGAGTGGCACGATACACTGAGGACGACACTTGCGGCTCTTGGGTTTGCTCCTTCGACTGCTGACCCGTCGCTGTTTCTACGCACCGACACTACTCTGCCGCCGTTCTACATCCTCGTGTATGTCGACGACTTGGTTTTTGCTACTGCTGACACTGAGGCACTGACCCTAGTGAAGGCGGAGCTGCAGGAGAGACACACCTGCACTGACCTGGGTGAGCTGCGGAGCTATCTTGGCTTGCAGATCACCCGGGACAGAGCACGGCGCACCATCACCCTGACTCAGTCACACATGGTGCACCAGGTCCTTCAGCGCTTCCGCTTCACGTACTCCTCGCCACAGCCCACTCCTCTGGCTACCGGCCACTCGCTCTCAGCTCCACCTTCGGACGAGTCCGTAGAGCCGAGTGGTCCGTACCCAGAGCTTGTGGGCTGCCTCATGTACCTGATGACGTGCACACGACCTGGCCTCGCGTACCCTCTCAGCCTTCTGGCTCGCTACGTGGCACCCGGCAGGCACCGAAAGGTGCACTTTGTTGCTGCGAAGAGGGTACTGCGTTACTTGTGCAGTACATCGGGCATGGGGCTCGTGCTTGGAGGACGGGGTTCGGTGGTCCTCACAGGACACTCTGACGCTTCTTGGGCCGACGACCAGGCGACTCAGCGTTCGTCACAGGGCTACACCTTCAGTCTTGGCGCTGGTTCTGTCTCGTGGAGGTCCACTCGTTCTTCTTCTGTGCTTGGTTCCAGCTGTGAGGCCGAGATCTACGCTGGGGCCATGGCTGCACAGGAGCTGCGCTGGCTGACCTACCTGCTAACCGACTTGGGGGAGCGGCCTCGTTCTCCTCCAGTTCTGTACGTCGACAACAAGGCAATGCTTGCCTTGTGTCGGGAGCAGAGACTGGAGCACAGAACGAAGCACATTGCTCTGCGTTACTTCCTTGCGCGTGAGCTGCAGCAGCGTGGTCAGCTGCGCCTTGCTTTCGTGGCCTCTCGGGCCAACACTGCTGATGTCTTCACCAAGGCCCTTGCGGCTGGTGATCATCAGCGTTTCTGCACTGCTCTTGGGCTTGTGCCCACTCTGCCTCACCTGCTGGTTGCTTGACTTGCTCTTGTTGTACACTGCTATATATCTTTATACCTGCATGTTTACTCTTGCTAGGTTGTGATCTGTGTACTGCCTTGCTATTATAAATTTGCATGTGAACTGGCCTTGTGGCCGCCTGCTTGTGCTCAGATTGTGTGGTGTCCTTGAGATCCACCCTGCGCTTTGCCTTGCTTAAACTCTTGCTTGACTGGTCTTGTGACCACTGTTAGGTTTGGCTATCCCCTACTTCATCTATGGGGGTGTGTCAAAACATATTGTTCTGCTTATTTCACTCTAGGTTGTGTAGGGTTCCTTCCTTAGAGGGTACAACATTCACTCTCGATAGTCCTTGTACCCCCCCCCCTTACCCAATCGACCATTCTCACCTAGCTCCTAGCTTTAACACGGGCTGCAGAGGCGGCGCGCGGGCTACAGGGGCGACGCGCGGGCTGCAGGGGCCGCGAGGACGGGCTGCAGAGGCGGCGCGCGCGCTCCAGGGGCAACGCGCTGGCTGCAGGGGCAGCGTGGACGGGCTGCAGAGGCGGCGCGCGGCTGCAGGGGCAGCGTGAATGGGCTGCAGGGGCAGCGTGAACGGGCTGCAGGGGCGACGTACGGGCTGCAGGAGCGACGAACGGGCTGCAGGGGCAGCGCGCGGGCCACAGGGGCAGGCGCGGCTGCAGGGGCAGCACGGTAGCAGGGGCGAGCACGGCTGCAGGGGCAGCACGGTCGTAGGGGCGAGCACGGCTGCAGGGGCAGCGCGGTCGCAGGGGCAGCGCACGGGCTGGAAGGGTCGCGACAGTGAGAGCTAGGGGCGCCAGCGCGCTGGCTACTCTGTAGGGCGTGGCGCTACCACTAGGCGGAACGGTGGGCCCATGTAGGAACGGTTCCTACTCTGATAACATGTTAAGAATAGAACTAGGAGTGAGTGATTGAACTAGGCAAGAGGTGAGTACAAGTAGGGGAAAGCTAACCCGAAAGTGTTGTACTCACTAAGGAGTGACCCTACTGTAGCCTAGAGATACAATTGCAATTTGACAGGTTGCAGAGAATAAAAGCGTGGGTATACGGTAGTACGGTACAGTGGCGGATCGACATTTCTCCATGATCGCCACCTCTACCACTCCGCTTGTGCTATCCTACAACTGTCGCTAGATAGATCGATACTGCTAGGTACTAGGACGGGTCATGTTTGTTCACTTCTGCTAAACACTTGGCTTCAGCAAAATAGCAGATATACTTGAGATCACAGCATCACAAAAGCCACATACACTACACCAAAATCCACCAACCCTGCACACATGCCCACCTAACCCTCCCACCCGCACAACCCCCCTGCCCTCCCCTACACACACACAACTGTCAACAGCAGCAGCACAACGCCGTTCTACAATCCCACATCAACTCAGCTGGCAGAACTCCACTGCACCATGCTGCTACCAACAGCAGCAGGCATCACACAAGCTGGACTGCTGCCCCGGCTACTTCACGCTACCACGCCGCCTTGCCTCGCCCGCTTCCCATCCCCTCGCCCCCTACACCATCGTCGCCGCGGTGCGTGCGGGCGAGCCACCGCCTCCCTTCACAGCGCCCTTCATCCCCTCGCACAGCGCACCTCCCATCCCCTCGCCGTCTCCGCTACACCATAGTTTCCGCGGTGCGCACGGGCGAGCCACCGTCTGCCTTCACCGCACCCTTCATCCCCTCGCACAGCGCACCTCCCGTCCCCGCTACACCATCGTTTTCCCGGTGCGCGCAAGCGAGCCACCGCCGGCCTTGAGAGCGCCCTTCATGCCGCCGTTGCTGTACCCCTTGGCCGCCGCCTTGAGCGCCTCCACGCCGCCCTTCTGCACCACCTTCTTCGCCACCCCTCCCGCCTTGCTCGCCGCGTTCTTGATCCCGTTCTTGATCTTCTTCCAGCTCAGCAGCACCCGCACCGCCTCGTCCAGCCCGTCCGTCACCTCCCCCACCTCCTCCTCTCCGCCCTGCTGGTCCACGTCCGCACCGCTGCTCGCTTCCAGCAGCTTGCGGCCCCAACTCGCCGCGTCCACGCCTGCGCTTCCAGCAGCGACGTCGCCCCGCAATGGCGCGGACGTGGCATAGAGCGCAGGGAGAGAGACGAGGACCAAGGCGAGGATGAACACGGAACGAAGAGTGGCCATGGTGACGAGCGACTCAGAGAGCGTCCGAGCGTCGGATTTTAACGAGTAGCACTGAGAGCGATGATGCGGATCAGATTCGGTTGATTCTCAAGCACTGAGAGAAGCAACTCAGTTGGTGGTGGTGAATGGCGGAATGGAGGCGATTTAAGTATTGCGGCGAAAGACGAGGAGGAGGCGAGGGATGGTGAAGGGATCCGCAGCAGGCGAGGAGGTGGAGGGAGCTGCAGTGGTGGTTCGCCGAGCTGCAGTTATGGTTCGCCATGTTCTCCTCCCAGCAGCTCGCGGTTATTGCCGCCGCACAACGCGCAACATGCGGAAAGGGCTACTGGTGTCCACGCTAGCGCGTGCTACGTCCGACTCGAAGTCGAGTACTCGGTGTGAACGGCAGCGCGGCCGCAATAATGGCTGGAGATTCATTTCAAATAAGTTACTCGCCCGATCGCCAACGATGTGATTTTCGAGAGCAGGAGGCGAAGGTTTGGTGGGGGGAGAGGAGTGCGCCCTCTGCAGCGTAGCGGCAGTAACCTAATCTCAATCCAGAAGCTCGCAGTTATTGCTCGCATCATGGCGCCGCACAATGCGCAAAGAGCGACTGACGCGTGAGGCGTTGGGATGCAGCACGCTGGTAACGAGGACGCACGCTACTGTGCACCTAGTTTTGAGAGCTAGTAAGTGCAAGTGAGGAAAGCTCCGAGATCAACGGAAGCGCGGCAATAATGGCTCTCAGCGAGTCAGCAGGTACTTGTTTGTGGAAGGGGAGGATGGAGGGGTGTTCGGGAGCGTGTTCGGAGAAGGGTCAGTTTCCCAGCCAGCTCTATCAGCGAATCGGTCGACGAAAAACACGAAAAGTTACCTGGGCTTCGTTCGGAAGGCATAATCTAGACGCATGTGTTCGAACAATGGAAGTTTCAATCGCCCAGCCATTTTCGCAAAAGTAACTGTTTTTCGCCTCTCGTCCAGCTGTCCGCCGACGCATTATCGAAGTGGCTGGCGTTCGACTAGAGCTGGTTCGTAACAAGCCCTTCACCCGCCGAACGCGCTCCCAAACACCCCTGCCTCGTCTCGATCAACGGCGGGAATAATGGCACCCCAAACAAAAAACTCCTTCCCACCAGAAGCCATTGTTCCCGCCGTTGATCTCGGAGCTCTCTTGCACTGAGCTCACGTCGCGACCCAAAGTGCGCACCAGCGCGTATCACGTTCTCGTTTACTAGCGTGGCTCATCCCACCGCCTCACGCGGCAGTCGCTCTTTGCGCATTGTGCGGTGCCATGATGCGAGCAATAACTGCGAGCTGCTGGAACGAGGGAACTAGCTTACTGCCGCTACGGTACAGACGGCGGACTCCTCCTCTCCCCCCAACCAACCCTCACCTCCAGCTCTCGAAAATCTGGCGATCTGGCGAGCCGCTCATGTGAAATGAGCTGCCAGCCATTATTGCTGCCGCTCCGTCCAACTCCGTGCACGCGCTAGAATTCACATCACTGGTGCAACGGCCGCGCTACTGGCAGTAGCTTTCTCCGCATGTTGCGCGTTGTGCGGCGGCGCCATGCCAGCAATAACCGTGCGCTGCTGGGGAGAGTAGCATCAAGTTGGCAACCCACCGCAGCTCCCTCCACCACCCTCGCCTTTTCGTCTCTCGCTACTTAAATCGCCTCCGTTCCGCCATTCACCACCACCCACCCGAGTTGCTTCTCTCAGTGCTTAAAAATCACCCGAATCCGATCCTCAGATCATCGCAGTTCGCAGTGCTACTTACGAAATCCGTCGCAATCGTTACCATGTCTACTCTTCGCTCCGCGTTCGTCCTCGCGTTGGTCCTCGCCTCGCTCCCCGCACTCTACGCCGCGTCCGCGCCACTGCGGGGCGACGTCGCTGCTGGGGGAAGCGCAGCCGTGGACGCGCCGGCGAGGTGGGGCCGCAAGCTGCTGGAGTCGAGCAGCGGTTCCTCCGCCGCAACCGGCGCGGACGCTGACGTGGACCACGTGGGCGGCGAGGAGGAGGAGGTGGGAGAGGTGACGACGGACGGGCTGGAGGAGGCGGTGCGGGTGCTGCTTGGCTCGGATGCGGACGTGGAGCAGCAGGGCGGCGAGGAGGAGAACGAGGAGGAGGTGGGGGACGAGGTGACGGACGGGCTGGACGAGGCGGTGCGGGTGCTGCTGACGTGGGGGGAGATGAAGAACGCGGCTGCGGCAGGGACGAGCACGAGCACGGGGAAGGGCATGGGGGGCAAGATGGGAGACATCGCGTCCAAGGCGGTGGCGGCGAACGCGCAGAGCGGGGGGGTGAAGGCCTGACGTGGAAGGAGGTGAAGAGCACGGGGAAGGGCACGGGGGGCACGCGGCTGCGGCAGGGACGAGCATGAACACGGGGACAGGCACGAGGGGCAAGCTGGGAGGCATCGTGTCCAACGCGGTGGTGGCAAACGCGCAGAGCAGCGGCGGGGTGGTGAAGGCCTGATGTGGGCTGCGGCAAACGCGTACAGCAAGGAGGGGGGAAGAGGGAGGGCGGGGGGTTGGGGGGGGAGAGGGGGGGGAGGGGGGTGAAGGGCTTGGTTAAGGCGGGCAGTGGCTTGCGTTAAAAACGATGGTGATGCAGCAGAAGCAGCATGGTGCTTAGCTGGTGGGCTGGTGCTGAAAAGGGCACTCTATACGGTTCCTCTGCTGGTTCTGCTGTTCTGCCTGCTGCCGTCGGTGCAATTGCTGCTGCTGCTGCTGCTGCCGCTGCTGCTGTTTGCGGAGTTGGTTGCTTGAGTATGTGTCTTGGTGATGCTGCTGGGAGGGGCATATGGTATGTGTGTGGGGGGGGGTTGGGAGGGTTAGGTCTATGGGCTTGTGTGCTGGGTGGGTAGTGAAAATAAAATTAGTGGAAAATGAAAAGCAAGCCTTTACCAGAGCTTTGAAGAGTCATTGGGGAAATATCCACAAACGCTGCTGTTTATGTAACCACACCACAATTTAAAAAATGCGAAGAAAGGCAAAGGAAATGCAACAGGTCTTGCATGCAATGGAGCCAGCCATATCTCAAACAGTTAGGAGGGAGTTGATATTGCACCACCAACAGTTTGATAACAATAACTACACTAATCTACGCTACATGCAATTATATCAAAATATATGTTTGATACCAGAATCGTACATGGTAACATGGCACTATTTACACTTGAAATCAAAGTACGGTACGTACTTGAAGCAGAATCTTATCGATTGAGAGGACACTCATGTGACCAATGAAATGGATCACCACAGGTGTAACACCCAGCATCCCCACCCCCCCACCACCATGGCCACCGCCACCACCACCACCAACACCAGTACCATGAGTTGCTTCACTAGACCGAACAAAACCCATGGTCTCACCAGTCGCCCCAACCACACGCCTCCCCCCCCCCTGCCCTGCTCTGCTGCTGCTTCTCCCGGCCCCACCACCAGGGCTCTGGCTAGGATTTTGACCCGTCTGAAAAAAAAAACAAAAAAAAATTTCGTCTGAATGAAATATGAGCAAACTTAGGTGGTCTGATTTTCCAGACAAAGCATAAACACTTGTCTGAGTTTCCAGACGAAAATTTCTTTCAAAATGTCGGGCTTACGGTGTAATAACGAGAATCGAACCCTGACCCTCACTACAACGTGGAAAGACTAAAGGACTCAGCCACATGAGGCGAAATTGTATGGAGATTTCAAATTTGCTTCAAGTTCCGGTGCGATAGTCCAGCTGTTGGTAGACTTCGGAACTTCCACATCCTAGACGAAACATTCCTCGCTGTCTGAATACTCAGACGAGTTATAAGCCATTTGTCTTATTATTCAGATGAACTAAAATGCCTTATCTGACAAATCATATGAGCATTAATTACTGGTCTGCAAAATCATATGAACATCAAAAATTGTGTCTGAAAATCAGACCATCAGACGAAATTCGTCTGATAACCAGAGCCCTGCCCACCACCCCTTCCTCTGCCCCCACCTTGTCAAAGTACAATCTTACTTGTAGGCTATAGTGGGGCACTCCTTATGGGGTACATCACTTCTAGGGTTAGTACTTGTACCCCAACTCTTGCTAATCCAATCAATCCTGCACAGTTGATTCTGACATGGTATCAGAGCAGAAAACCTGTTAGGTTTTTAGGGCCCACCGATCGTTCCGCTAGTTTGTGCCCGAAACGCCCTTGCGCTGTCTGGCCCTCTCGCACAGTGTCACGCTGCCCTGCAGCTACTCGCACTGGCTGCCCTAGCGCGCTGCCTTACTGTCCCGCGCGCCCCTGCTGCCCGCGTGCAGCCCCTGCCCCGCGCGCCCCTGCTGCTTGCGAGCAGCCCCTGCCCCGCGCGCCACTGCTGCCTGCGAGCAGCCCCTGCCCCGAGCGCCCCTGCTGCCCGCGAGCAGCCCCTGCCCTGCGCGCCCCTTCTGCCCGCGAGCAGCTCCTGCGCCAGCGCGCCCCGCAGCCTAGCGCGCCAGCGCGCCCCGCAGCCTAGCGCGCCAGCGCGCCCCGCAGCTCAGCGCACCAGCGCGCCCCACTGCGAAGCGCGCCAGCGCGCCCCACTGCGAAGCGCGCCAGCGCGCCCCACTGCGAAGCGCGCCAGCGCGCCCCGCAGCCCTAAGTGCGCCAGCGCGCCCCGCAGCCCAGCGCGCCAGTGCGCCCCGCAGCCCAGTGCGCCAGCGCGCCCCGCTACTAAGCGCGCCAGCGCGCCCCGCAACCCTAAACGCGCCAGTGCGCCCTGCTGCCCAGCGCGCCGCTGCTGCATGAGCTGCTGCTGCTGCTAAGCGCTGCTGCTGCTGCTAACCGCGCTGCTGCTGCTACTGTACGCTTCTGCTACTGCTGCTGCTGCACACGCTGCTACTGCAGCGCTGTGCCCTGCCGAGCAGTGCTGCCCTGCCCGAGCCGCGCTACCCTGCCCCTACTGAGCCGCACTGTCTTACTGCTGCTCCTACTGCTACTGTTACGACTGCTGCTACTACTGCTGCCGCTGCTCGTGCTGCCACTGCTAGCACTATTGCTGCTACTGCGCTAGCCTGTGCCCTGCTGCCCACGCACTCTACTGGCCTCCACAGTCACTATAGCAGTCGCTACTGCTGCCCTTGAGCCGCTGCTACTGACTGCCACTGTCTGTCATGGCCACTATCACGCTAGTCGCAGCGGCTAGGGGTGGACAGCAGCAGCCACTGCCTCTCCCGGACACGCAATGCCCGCAGCAACTTCGCGAGTGGGTTATTCAGCGAGCCCGTCCAGGTGGTGGAGGCTTTGGTTTTCTGCGTACTGCACAGCGGCGGCAGCAGAGTCAGCAGGAGACCTTCTCCCCGCATCTGCTTAGTGAGTTGTTTTCTCAGCGATGTGTCCCTGGTTCTGAGTCTGCTGCCGCACTAGGTGCTAGTGAGTCTGCTGCCGCTCCAGGTGCTAGTGAGTCTGCTGCAGCTTTAGGTGCTCGTGCGTCTTCCGCCACAGGTCCTGCCTCAGCTGAGGCCTTGCACACTTTCACACTTGGCTCAGGCGCGTCACGTTGCTTCTTTCGTGACTGCACCACACTCACACCACTTGCTGCACCGGTACCAGTCTCACTGGCTGACCCCACTGGGGGCCCAGTAGTCGCACGAGCCTCCACTGTCCTCCCATGTCCAGCAGTCCCCTCTGGTTCTCTGTCAGGTCTCCACCTCCCCACGTTCTCAACGAACTTGGTGAGCAAAGCTGCCATTCAGAATGTCTGGGTTGATACCTTTATTCCTGGAGGGCAGCGTGTGGCGATCTGTACGTGCTCCCGGACTGGCCGTCAACTTGCTACGTTCACTCGACGGCCTGGGTCTAGTCTGTACACACTGACCACTGCGTCTGCACAGGTGGCTGAGTCAGGTCAGGTGGCTGCGTCGAGTAAGGTGTCTGCGTCTGGTCAGCTTGCAGGGTCTTGCTCGTGTCAGGTACTCTCCCACCAGACTCTCCTCTGGCACCACCGCCTCGGTCACCCCTCCCTGCCGCGTCTCCGTAGCATGCACTCCCGTCTCCTTGTCTCTGGCCTTCCTAGATCCCTGCCCTCCCTCCTGCGCTCGCCTGCCCCGCCGTGCCTTCCCTGCGTCGAGGGGCGGCAGCGGGTCGCTCCTCACTCCTCCGAGTTTCCTCCGACCACTGCTCCTCTGCAGACTCTCCACATGGACGTTTGGGGCCCGGCTCCCGTCGGTGGAACGGACCAGGAGCGCTACTTCCTGCTGGTTGTTGACGACTACACACGCTACACCACTGTCTTCCCCTTGCGGCGCAAGGCGGACGTCAGCGGTGTTTTGATCCCCTGGATCCGTGCTACTCGTCGCCAGCTACGCGAGCGGTTTTGTCGGGACTTGGCAGTCCTGCGTCTGCACTCTGACAGGGGCGGTGAGTTCTCTTCTGACCTCCTTGCGGAGTTCTGTCAAGACGAGGGCATCCGCCAGACGTTCACGCTTCCGGCCTCTCCTCAGCAGAATGGGATTGCTGAGCGTCGCATTGGCTTGATCATGGAGGTTGCTCGTACCTCCATGATCCATGCGGCTGCTCCCCATTTTCTGTGGTCGTTTGCGGTCCGATAGGCTGCGCATCAGCTCAACCTCTGGCCCCGTGCCTCTGAGCCAGAGACCTCGCCCACACTCCGGTGGACGGGGAAGGTTGGCGATGCGTCGGTGTTTCGGGTCTGGGGCGCGCTCTCCCTTGTTCGCGATGCCAAAGCGAGCAAGCTCTCCTCTCGCACTCTTCGCTGCGTTTTCCTTGGCTTCCCCACCGACGCCCCGCCCTGGCAGTTTTACCACCCGCGCTCGCGTCGAGTCTTCTCCTCCCAGTACGTCACCTTTGACGAGTCTGTCTGTTTCTACAAGCTACACCCGCACGCGTCCCACCCGGTCCCCCTAGCTCCTCTCTTCCTGGTACCAGTCCCCCCCCCCCCGGTAGACCCCCTCCCCCCACAGGGTCCTGCTCCTTCAGGTGTGTCTCAGGTAGACCCACCCCTCTTGGTTGAGCCTTTGGAGATCTCTTCTGACTCCTCTGGCCCAGCTGAGGGGGGTGACCCCGCCGCTGACGACACGGCGGCCACTCGCCGCTCTCCACGCTTGGAGACCCCCCCTGGTTTTCCGCCTTGGCCGTCTTCGCCGCCTCTGCATCCTGCTGCTGTGGACTCTGGAGCTGAGACTGCTGGTGCTGAGCCTTGGGGTGAGGGTTCTGGGGGTGCTGAGACAGAGGGTGAGGGTTCTGGGGGTGCTGCGACTGGGGGTGCTGACTCTGGGGGTGCTGCAAGTCCTAGTGGCGGTGGAGCTGTGGGTGACCCGGCTAGAGGTCCTGGTGCTGGACAGCCACAGCAGCCTGGTCTACTCGAGACGCTCTCGCTGCACCAGATTTGTGCGTGGATCGTTCGGAGAGGCAGTCCTGGTGGTGGAGGGTACAGTCCTTCTGGTGCTGGAGCTGCTAGTCCTGGAGGTACTGCTGGTGCTGGAGGTGCTGGAGGTACTGCTGGAGGTGCTGGAGCTGTTGGAGGTGCTGGAGGTGCTGCTGGTGCTAGAGGTACTGCTGGAGGTCCTGGAGGTGCTGCTGGTGCTGGAGGTACTAGAGGTGCTGCTGGTGCTGGAGGTGCTGGAGCTGCTAGTCCTGGGGGTACTGGAGGTGCTGCTGGTGCTGGAGGTGCCGGAGCTATCAGTCCTGGAGGTGCTACTAGTGCTGGAGGTGCTGGAGCTGCTAGTCCTGGAGGTCCAGCTGGTGCTGGAGGTGCTGGAGGTGCTGGAACTGGAGGTGCTGGTGCTGGAGGTGCTGGAGATACTGCTGGTGCTGGAGGCGCTGGAGCTGGAGGTACTGGAGGTGCTGGAGCTGCTGGTCCTGGAGGTACTGCTGGTGCTGGAGGTGCTGGAGGTACTGCTGGAGGTGCTGGAGCTGTTGGAGGTGCTGGAGTTGCTGCTGGTGCTGGAGGTACTGCTGGAGGTCCTGGAGGTGCTGCTGGTGCTGGAGGTACTAGAGGTGCTGCTGGTGCTGGAGGTGCTGGAGCTGCTAGTCCTGGGGGTACTGGAGGTGCTGCTGGTGCTGGAGGTGCCGGAGCTACAAGTCCTGGAGGTGCTACTAGTGCTGGAGGTGCTGGAGGTGCTAGTCCTGGAGGTCCAGCTGGTGCTGGAGGTGCTGGAGCTGCTGGAACTGGAGGTGCTGGTGCTGGAGGTGCTGGAGGTACTGCTGGTGCTGGAGGCGCTGGAGCTGGAGGTACTGGAGGTGCTGGAGCTGCTGGTCCTGGAGGTGCTCGTACAGGAGGTACTGGAGCTGCCGGAGCTGGTGGTGCTGCTGGGGCTAGAGGTGCTGGTTCTGCAGGCGCTAGAGGTGCTACTGGTACTGGAGGCGCTGGAGGTGCTACTGGTGCTGGAGGTGCTGGAGCTGGAGGTACTGGAGTTGCTGGAGCTGCTGGTCCTGGAGGTGCTCGTACTAGAGGTGCTGGAGCTGCCGGAGCAGGTGGTGCTGTTGAGTGTGCAACCTCGCTGAAGTTGAATGCAATCAGTATCAGTGGCGGACTGTGCTGCTAACTTGCTGCAAGTCTATACAACTAATAAGTTATTGCAACCATTGTCTCCATGTGGTGTTTGGTCTCGTTCAGGAGGATGAGCAGCATTCAGCCATAAACACCTGCAAGTGAGCTATTGCATCCCTTGTGTGTGTGTGCTCCTCGTCATTTGCCCATGAAGCCGCTAGATTCAACTCAGCACACAGACGGACCCAAACCAACGTGCGTCACTCTCAGTGTCTCGTCCAGTCATTCTACCAGCTGGTGTATTTCAAGTGCATACAAAATGCTATGCTTCGTCCCTCCCTCCCTGCCGCATCACGCCAGGGACGGACGACCCGTGCCTGCTGAGGGAGTCCAAGTACCGCAGTGGGATAGGTAGGCGCTCCACCCGTGCAACCCTTGAGTCCACTCAAAGTCTCCCTCCCTCCCTCCCACTTCCGACCAGCTGCGGACGACCCGTGCATGGCGAGGGTATATAAGTATTGCAGCGAGGTGATTTTGAGTCGACTCACAATGCTCCTCCATCCCTCCCTGAATCATCACATCACACCAGCTGCGGACGACCCGTGCATGGTGAGGGCATACAAGTACCGCAGCGAGGTGGGGCCGGTGCTCAACCCGTGCAGCAGCTATCAGTCATACCAAGTGTATTTCTTTCAAGTCGGCTCAAATTGCTCCATCTCTCCCTCCCTGCCATGTCCTAACAGCTGCGGACGACCCCTGTTTGGTGAGGGCATACAAGTACAGCAGCGAGTCGTCGTCAGTGCTCAACCCGTGTGAAATCCGAGCCAACTCAGAAGTTACCTTCCTCTCTCCCACACCTCCCACGCCCCACCAGCTGCGGACGACCCCTGTTTGGTGAGGGCATACAAGTACAGCAGCGAGTCGTCATCAGTGCTCAACCCGTGCGGTAGCTTCCAGTGCACCCCTGACGGCACCTCCAACCACTGCGCCTGCACGGCGCCCTTCAAGGAGGTCACCAACGCTGACGGCACGCGCTCATGCGCTTACAGTGAGTGTGACATTGTTGGTGGTGCTTGTGTGCTCTGCTGGAGTGAGACATGGCAATTGCCAGTGCTTAGAGTGTGTCCACTCTTCAAAGTGACTCCTGTGCTGCCACTGGATTTTGTTCTTGTTTTTGTTTCTGGTTTTCCTAACTGTGGGCCTGTCCGCTCGTTGTACATCCGGTAATAGCACTGGCCCATCATGCATACAACGAGTTTGACATTGTTGGTGTTGGTGGTGCTGCTGCTGCTTCTGCTGTATGCTCTGATGGACAAAGGCATGGCTCGTTCCAGTGCTGAGAGTGAGTGCGGTGCTGAGAGTGATTCCGGTGTGTAGCGAGAGTCTGGTACTTACAGTAAGTTCGGTGCTTATAGTGAGTTCACTGTTTGTAATGAGTCTGGTGCTGCTACGGGTCGTCTGCGACTGAGTCTGAGACCCTTGTCATGTTTCTCACGCACCCACTGACAGTGTCAACCACATCTTGTCAGGCCCCCTTCCGTTCCGCAGTACGAAAGCTATTACATTGTTGACACTAAAACAAAAAGTAAAGATCACAGTATGAACTATCAAGAGCGGATCGAGTCGAGTGCAGGGGCTTCAGTTAGAGGGCCAGGTGTATATACGCCCATGGCGAGTGTTTCTCAGATTTTGCTTCTGATTCATGAAATCTTAGCACGAGTAACTGTTTTTGGGGCTCACACTTCAGTGCAGCTGCCTGGCCCCATACACGGTTGCGGCTCGCACTATGGAAGGCTGGGGAAGCCACTCCAGCCTCGACAGATAACCAATGCTTCGTAAACTGGTACTTTGTGACTGGTGACAAGTGTCATGGCTTACGAGCAACGAATGAAGTGATAAATTCCATGGCACGCCAGCAATTGTGCATGCGATAGCGAGGTATTTCCCGGAACCAGGGCAACCAGCATGTGCAGCACGTGTGAACCCATGACTAAGCCACAATGCTTGTTGCGACTGTGCGTGCCTGCTGTGTGATCCTCCAGTGAACGTGTGCAGGAGCAGCACGCGCAACCCTTGTGAGACAGGCACGTGCATGGACGATGGCCAGGGCGCCTACACGTGTGTGTGCCCGCCCACACACACCCCCGATACCACCATTGACGGCTTCCCCACCTGCTCCAAAGGTGCGCGCAGAATGCTCGTCATTCGTCTAGCCTCCTCTTCCCCACCCCTCAGCACATTGCTTCTTTTTTTATGACAAACTTAAGTGTGGTGATAGAGATAGAGTGAAAATAAAACCATGGAAACTCTCATTTTAAAATGAGCTTTGTTTTTTTTCCTGATCCGTGTTATGGCCACTGCAAGCGGCTCTCCTGATGGGCGCACACATCCTAGAAACCCGTGGATGGGCTCTCCCGTCCATCGTTCTAAAGGATGCTCCTTTCCCAACCACCTTCTATCCAGTGCACTGCCACCTGCCTTCCTAGAATATTGCTGACATAAATGGACCTTACAAGGCTCATATTGCAGTTCATGCCCACCTTGCACCTTGTTTAAAATCCCCTTCCGTTTCTTGCATCCAGGAGCCACGCTCGCCTCAACGGTAGTGGTCGCTGGAAGCAACTGGCGTTGCAACGATGTTTATACCCTTTATGGGAACAAATTTGATGACTTTTTGGGGAATAACACTGTGAGAATGCTCTGACGGTCCCATAAGCTTTCTTTCTTTGTTGCTGCTTTGTAATAGAAACGTTTTCTCTTGGGCGTTGCTGTCCGCTTGTAAAATGTAGAGGTGGGGTTCCATGCAGGAAGACTAACCTCCATTAAACCACGAGTCACTTGATTCGAACCTTCCTGCAAGCCTGTCAACCACATCTCATTCTGTTTTTGAGAAGGATAGGTTTCATTGATAAGGCCATGCATACCTCATCTAGGAAAGAGAAAGTGTGACCGAATGGCAAACAGCCAAAGCACTCTTGGTTCCCTGCTGACCATGCCTGCAGAATGCAGCAGACCACACTGATTGGTTTGTGAAAAGGAAAATAAAAAACTCAACAACTTTCCTGTCGGGCCATGCATGCAGGATGTTGACTGCAACTCTCCCCTCCCGAAAGGCAAGGTGCTCAAGGTGCCTGCACCCAATAATCTGCCCGCCTGCTCTGCTTACTACTACACTTACTCAGTGAGCACCATTGATATCCCGACCACCAGCTTCCGACCTTCCAAACAAGCTCCAACCACTTCTCTCACTCTCTGCTATGTACCGCTTCCCCTTGTCCCTCCCCCGAATATCATCCTCTCTGTACTATCTAAAACCCCACAATATCTTCCCGACTTGAACTCTTGCTCCTCTATCCGTACCTGGTCTGCCAACCCCATGCCACCACCCACCCCTGCCAGAGCGTCGCGTGCGCATCCATGATGGCCTTGTTTTAGTCGACTCAAACATAATTCCAACCCCCCACCCCCCGCTTTCCCACGCCACCCACCAGAGCGACACATGTGCCTTCCTGGCCCTCTCCTCCTCCACACTCGAGCAACTCAACCCGGACCTCGACTGCGGCTCACCGCTCCCCGCCTTGCACTCCCTCTGCATCGAGCGCAACGCGCGTGCCGCAGCCAGCATCCCCAGCTGCCTGGTGACCACCTTCATCACCACCCAGGCCAGCTGCAGCCAGACACTGGATGCGTCCAAGGGGGCGATTTCTATGGTGGAGCTTTACCGCATGAACCCTGGGCTCGTGTGCAGTAATGCCGTGCCCACGCCTGCGGGGGTTCCTGGTGACAAGCTGGGAGTGACGGTGAGTGAGCCTGGTTGGTTGGGATGGATTGTGGGTGCAGTGGTTGTAGTTCCTTTCAGGTTCCTCACACTCCCTCTGCGCCGCGGCCAGCATCCCCATCTGTCTGGTGACCACCTTCATCAGCACCCAGGCCGGCTGCAGCCAGACAGTGGACGCGTCCAAGGGAGCCCTCTCCATGGTGGAGCTCTTCAGGATAAACCGGGGGCTCGTGTGCAGTAATGCTGTGCCCACGCCCGCAGGGGTGCCCAGTGACAAGCTCCAAATCAGATTTGCTGGTGCACATATTACATGAACGGACAGTGTATTCATGCTTGTTCTTCACTTGTTGCCTTCTCCTTTCCCTTGTCTGCAGGCGTGCATAAGAGCCGAGTATTTGGACTTCTCCTTGGGCTCGTGCAAGTGTGGCAAACCAAAGTCCTTTTCCGGCAGCACGACATGCACAACTGTGTACATCAAAGAGTTTGGTGGCGCAGCAAATAGTGCCAAGTATGAGCAGTACAATCAGCCATGCGCAGGCACTCTTTCAAACAAGCTCAGTTCGCAGGTGAAAATATGTGTCCCAAATTAGCAGCTTGGTACATGGCAGCTGTGTATATGGCAACATGGAAGAACACTCTGTATCACCAAGATCTGGCATTTGCATGAGGATTGGATGTAAACAGTGTCTTTCATTCTAATTACAATGAGTGGTGGCAACGAAATAGCAGTATTACTCAAGCATTTTCCTGCGTTGGAGATACGGTTCATTTCAGTAACAACTCTGGTCATGCTCAAGCAGTAATTACAACTCACACTGATTAGCATAGTTGGCACAGAATTGACTTTCTCTATTCACAATGGTGAATATAAAACTCACACACTTGAAAACACGTACACGTCACATTTCACTTCATACAAATAGGTGAAAACCTAAGGAACATGGTTTTCAATGTGGGTCGCAGAACCCAAGAGTATGTGCTTGCAGCACTGGGACAGTAAAGAAAACCTACGGCACACTTAGGTCAGGGCAAAGGCATCGAGCAGCAGTGGTAGTAGCCCTGGTCATCGAATTTGAACCTCTGCGACAGATGTACCTCCCCCAGGCGCACCTCCCCCCACTCCATGTCCCCATGCTGTGCCACGATGAGGGAGGCATCAAATAGCAGGCGGGCACTGGAATGGGGGCTGGGGGAGGGCGAGGGGGGGAAGGGGAGGGCAGGGAAAGGTAAAAGGGGGGGATGTGAGAGTGAGTGGAATGGGACAAAAGGAGAAGGAAGCCCGTTCTACTATTCACCACGCTGTGCCACGATGAGGGAGACATCAAATGGTGCCCGGGCATTGCGATGCGGGCTGGAGAGGGGGCAAGGAAATGAGAGGAAAGGTGGCAAATACGAGAGAGTGAGTGGAATGAGACAGGAGGTGAAGGAAAGGTGGCAAATACTCATGACCACGTAGCTGTTTCTTACGAACCAGTCTCTCACCTATCTGCCAGACTTCCCTCACACACCCGCCCAACCCCTCCACACCCACCCTTTCCGGTGGTTTGTCTTCATGATGGTAACATGTAGCTGATGGGTGGGTGGATGTCGCTGATGCTTACACGTCAACCTTTAACCCACCTATATCCTCCCCATCCCCCCCACGCATCCTTTCCAATGGCTCGTGTTCATGATGGTGGCGTGCAGCTGGTGGTTACACCTGCCTCTCACCTACCTGCCCCCTCGACCCAGATACATGCTCACACCTATCCAATCTCCCACAATTAATCCCTCGCACACCCACCAGATCCCCCCCCACCCACCCTTTCCGGTGGCTCGTGTTCATGATGGTGGCTTGTAGCTGGTGTGGGGGTGGGGGGGAGCGGATTTGTGGGAGTGAGGATGTTTGAGGAGGGGAGATGGGGAGAGAGGGGGAAAAGAGGGGGGGTTGGGAGGGGATGGAGATGGTTAGGAGAAAAGTGATAAGGTGACGAGAGGGAATAACGTCATTTCACTTCAATGGCAAGCTCTTGACATATTGAATAAGCTGGGTGGAATCTCTCAAACGTGGAGGACTGGATTTCGAGTTACCTCAAAAAGTCACCTGCTTTCCTTCCAGAATGACCCAAATGCATGAATTCATTGCTAATGTCCCCTCATCTAGTGGTATTACACGCTTCATCCACTGCTAATCCACAGCCCACCTTAAGAGGCTGGCGGAAGTCCCTAGGTGTGACCAGCCCTGCCTCTCTGCACGCCTCCCTCAGCACCTCTGGGATGGAGGAGTTGGGAGAGGAAAAGCTGCGGGAAAGAATGATGGAAGTAGGGACTGGCGCTGCCTCTCTGCCCTGCCTCTCTTCCCTGACTCACTGCCCTGCCTCCCTGCCCTGCCTCCCTGCAAGCCTCCCTCAGCACCTCTGGAATGGGGGAGTTGGGAGAGGGAAGATTGATGAAAGCAGGAAGAATGATGGAATAATGATGAAATCAGAAAGAATGATGGAAGCAGGAACTGGCGCTGCCTCTTTGCCCTGCCTCACTCGCCTTGCCTCCCTGCGCGCCTCTCTCATCACCTCTGGAGTGGAGGAGTTGGGAGAGGGAAGAAAGGTGCGGGAAAGAGTGATGGACGCAGGGACTGGCGCTGCCTCTCTGCCCTACCTCCTAGCATCGGGACGCAAGCATGGGGCGTCGATGAATACAAAGGAACACTTTCTCGCCTCCTTGCTCATGCCGAGCTGCAGACCTAGTGGGTCGTGGCATGCGTTTCGTGGCAAGGCATGGCGTGGCATGGCGTGGCGTGGCATGGGATGGCATGGCATGGCATGGCCTGCCAAGAGCACTCACCACAGACTGCAGGCAGGCGGTTCCCCCCATCCACCTCGTGCATGTCTGCATACAGCACATGCGCCTTGAATGGATGCCCCCGCATGCACTTCTGCAGCTAGGGGAGAGTTGGGTGTCAGGGGTAGGGTCAAGGGTGTAAGGAGAGGAATGGGTTGGAAGGGAGGGTCATGTGTCTTGCATGCCACAGCTCCCACCCCATCCCTCCATGTGGCAAGATGAGAGGCTCACCACATAGCACAGAGCATGAGATCCCATCAGGCGACTTTCTGAAGCCTAAAAATGCAGCAAGAGGCTGGGCAAGAAGAAGGCAGTGAGCGTGAAAGCTAACAACTCACAAGGCCAACGAGGCGAATGACAAGAGGCGTGTCGCCCAGCACTTCTTGCACTCTCGGCATGGCTGCCTGGTACATGACATGTGGGGCGGGCAGGCACAGTGAGAAGGTGCAAGAGGACATGGAGTGAGCACATGTCATGTTAGATGTTCATGTGATGTTAGATGTTCATGTGATGTTAGATGTTCATGTGATGTTAGATGTTCATGTGATGTTAGATGTTCATGTGATGTTAGATGTTCGTGTGATGATAAATATTCATGTGATGTTAGATGTTCATGTGATGTTAGATGTTCATGTGATGTTACATGTTCGTGTGATGTTAGAAGCAGCGCAGCAGCAGCAGCGGCGGCGGCGGCATCGTCACAGCGCACTCTCTTCCCTCCTACTCTCACACTTCCTCTTGTGTGCTCCTCGCCTCCACTCTTATCTGCTGCTCCTTCATCTTCCACCTCTTCTTTGCTACAGTATTCTGTCCCTCCCCTCCCCCGAACTGCTGCTGCACAATCATGCCTCACACCTTCCCCCTCCACCTCGGCCTCTCCCTCCCCATCACTTTTTGTTGCACCAGCATCAGCATCACGAGCAGCATCACCAGGAGCACTATCAGCACCACCAGCAGTAGCAGCATCACCAGAAGCACCATCAGCGCCGGCAGTGTTACCAGCAGTAGCAGCACCAGCAGGAGCACCATCAGCACCAGCAGTGTTGTAAGCCTCTCTGTCAGGTGCTCCTGCATTAACGGAAAGCCCACTGACTGGAGCACGGAGGAGCTAAAGTCTTCCACGCGAGCCACCAGAGGGCGGTGGGCGGCGAGGGGGAGGGAGAGGAAGTGCGAATAGCCGACCGCAGGGCTGTCGATGGCCTGAGAGACGAGGAGAGGGGGAGAGAGTCGGGTGAGAAAGGGATGAGAGGCGGTGAAAGAGGGGTTGCCTGCAAGGAGGGAGAGGAAGTGCGAGTTGTCCACTGCAGGGCTGTCGATATCCTACCGGGGTGGGGGGGAGATTCAGAAGGGGGGAGAAGACACGGGTAGGTAGGAGCGACAGTGAGAAAGAGGCTATCAGCTTATCAAGTGCACCAGGGGAGAACGGGGATGACATGCCACGAGCGATTGATCATTGTGCGTTCAGCCTCTAAGGGAGCGTCAAAGAAAGTGTTTGGCGGCCCACATGGGGGCTTCTTATTCGCACCGCAGGTATATTGGGGAGCAAAAATTGTTAAGAGGGGAGGGGGTTGAGGGAAACAACAAACAAATGTGAATCTCGATGTCACGTTGCCTATGTATGGGGGTTTGTCAAACTATGTTTATGTTTGTGATAGGCTACAGTGAGGTAGATTGTAGTGAGTACAACACTTTAAGGTTAGCATATTTATCCTTTGCTTGCTAATCCAACCTCATTCCGCTGTTTCTAGTTATTGACAGTCCGTTACCACCTCGTGACACTCGCCTCGCTGTAGTTTCCGCCATCAAGACCATCGCGCCCAACCCTCCTGGCTCAGCTGGTAACTTGCGGTCTAGCTGTACGCCTCTAATCTTTGCGCTAGGCCCGTACTCGCTCATGCTTTCGCTATTTGTACTGTTTGCTTCGATATTGCAATTCTCGTTCGATCACTCAATTGCATTCGTAACATTCTCCCAGTATGTACATTGTTACGAATAGAAATTATTGAAACACTACTGTGCACTCCTCACCGCAGCAAACGAAGCACGCACTATCGAGAGTGAAGGCGAAAGGGAGCAAGTGACGCGAAGGGTCGCACGGTTACGAAAGGATCTGGACCGTCGGGCAGACAGCATCAGGCAGCAGCAGTGGCGAGGATTCTGCCCGGACAGTTTCGTAACTGTCTGGAGTCGCACGGTTGGATTTCGATGTAATAAGGGAATGTACCCCTTAGAGTACATGGCTAGCTAGGTCGATTCGAATTCCCCTGTACTCTTATTTATATTCCTTGTACTGCATGTTTTTATCATCTCAAGCATTTACATTCACTCTGCTATTGAGGTCAAGGGCCCACCACCACTAGATTAGGAGTGTGCGAACCTTCCTGAGGTGATCCTGAGGTCGATCAACTTCTGATCATAACATGG